CACAGAGTTCACTGTTTGACTCTTACTTTAGTAGAGACAGTACAAACGTTTGTACGCACAGAGTTCACTGTTTGACTCTTACTTTAGTAGAGACAGTACAAACGTTTGTACGCACAGAGTTCACTGTTTGACTCTTACTTTAGTAGAGACAGTACAAACCTTTGTAAGTATAGACCTCACTGTTTAACTTACTTTAGTGGAGACAGTACAAATCCTCATGGGTACATAGCTCACTATTAAACTCTAACTTTATTAGGGACAAAGAAAACTCGTGTGAGTAGTTAACACATTGTTTATCTCTTACTTTAGTATATACATTACATACTTTCGTGAGTTTTGGTATGAGCTCGAAGATTACAAGCAAGAGCAAACTTCTTCTCACAGTACTCGCAGGCATGAGGTTTATTACCTGAAAAGATACGGTATTTCTATGTAAATAATAATAAAAATAAACAAACAAGTATGATTTCAACATTCCGATGTGCAGGTTGGCGAAAGTTATCAACAACAACGAACAATTAAGCGATAATATTAATCTTAAAATTTATTCCAAGTAGCCGCAAATACAAAACATACGAAAAAAAAAAATGTAAAAAAACCTATAAAGTCATAAATGGATATATATATGTGTGTGTGTGTGTGTAATAATTACATTTTCAAATTTCACAATTAGATATTCTAATATAGTTCTTTAAAATGACATCCTCTTAGACATATTGTGAGGGTATTCATTTTCTAAAAAATAATTTTTTTGAAAAAATTAATGTCCATAAATAGAAAACATTCTAAAAATACACTCGCTTACAAAACAGTAAAACCTAACGCCACTTCACATACAAACGTATACATATTTTTATTTTTTGAAACCAACAATGGCACAAGAAAATTATTTTCAATCACCAATCTAACATCCAAGTTAAGGTATTGAGGCATATCGGAAATTCGAGCATCTGGAGCAGTTTTTCCAACCAGCGGTTCATCAAAACCATCATGCCGGTCCATGAGATTTCACGAAAACAAACAAATAAATACAAACTGATTGAATATTCATATGTAACTAGTAGTTGTTTTTTGTTGTCTTTGCACTTTAGTAATCTAAGACAACCTTGGAGCAGATATCAAAAAGGTTGAGAAATCCCTCCTCTACAGCTAAATCTGTTATACTTCAGATAATATTTCTTCCATAGTACTGTTTGTTATTCGTTATTCTTCAGTATCTTAACAACTTCCATGTCTAGGGGAAACAAAGACACATCAAAACTTAGGTAAAACAGTGACACATCACGACTTGGGTAAAACAGTAATAAATATTAATAAAACAGCGGAACAATACAGCCTTATTTAAACAGTAGAATGAAATGAGCTGGGTAAAACAGTGGTACAACACGGTCTGAATAAAACTGTTATAACAGTGTCTAAGTAAAACAATAGTATGAAATGAGGTGGGTAAAACAGTGGTACAATACGGTCTGAATAAAACTGTTATAACAGTGTCTAAGTAAAACAATAGTATGAAATGAGGTGGGTAAAACAGTGGTACAACACGGTCTGAATAAAACTGTTATAACAGTGTCTAAGTATTATGCTGTTTATTCAGATAATTCAAAAAATTATCTACGTGTTCTTCACTTTCAAATACCGTAAATGTGTCGTCCACATATCTTTTATACACTATCGGTTTAATTTACTTTGGACATTCTTCTAACCATTTCTTTTCATTAGAACACACAAATACATTAGCCAATATGGGAGCCAAACAGGAACCCATACTAACTTCATCTTTCTGATCATAAACTTTACCATTAAACAAAAAATGTGATTCTTTTGTAGCTATAACCATTAATTCATGAAATATATCTTTAGGTATTCCCATAAAACTACCCCCTTTTTCATATAATAAAGTTTTACCTATCTCAATGGTTTCGTTTAATGGTATTTTAGTAAATGATGATTCTACATCAAAACTTGGAATTACTACATCCTTATCAAATTTCAAATCTTTAATATTGTCTACAAATTCAAAGCTATCTTTCAGAGTATATTCATTATTAATAAATTCTTTTAAACTTTTACTTACAAATTTTGTTAATTTGTGGTTATAGCAACCAATGTTGGATAGGTCTCATTGGATAATTGTCTTTATGAATTTTTGTCACTCCATACAATATACCCGCATGCAAACCACTAGGTCTTATTTCTTTATAAAAATGTACTGTTATGATGTTTTCTTTTCACAGTTTTAATAAGTATCTGGTCAATTTATTTTCTCTGGTTTTGGTGAGATCTTTTTTAAGGATTTTAAATTTACTTTTCACCTTAATAATTTCATCAACTTTGTTGTTATAGTCTTCCTTATCTATAATGACTACTTTGTTACCTTTATCAGGCTTCGTAATCACTATCTCTTTGTTTGTACTTAACATTATCAAGGCTTGATTTTCTAGCCAGCTAATATTCCATGGTTTAGAAGTCAAGTTGTTCACACATTATCAAAATTAACTTGAGCAGATGAATTAACCTTCAACACTTACGATCCTTTAACAAGAGTTCAAATCCTAATAAATAAACATGAAATTCAAATTTCATAGGAGTGATTGCAAATTATAATTCTCTAGATAATACTTTCTTTTCAATATCATTTCAACAATAATTTGATAAATGTATTACCACATTATCAGGATTACTCGTAAAGGATTTACTAATTTGGTTTTCTTCAAGTTTAATTTTTTTTGTTCTGTGCTAATCGTATTTCTATCAGTTTAGTGTTGTTATTTCTTATAATCTTATTATTCAAACAAAAGAAGTCAACTTTACTAATTAACTTTTTAAGTTGTAATTTATATCCAATTATTATTTTTTCAAGCTTTTTAAATGTCTTCTCCTTATATTTAATTTCACTTTCTAAAAACCTTTTCTGAGTTTCTTTATATTGTTTTAATTCTTTGAACCTAACATTAGCAGTTTTAAAATTTAAAAATTTTGGTATTAATCCATAAACCTTACAATTTGAACAATTCCAAATTATCGGAAAGGCTGAAAATGAGCTAAGGTCAGAAGAAACATTAGCCATAAAGAACTTAGCACTTGAACTAAACAAGAAATCCAGCACCGGTGAGCTGATGTTAAAAGTGTGAGAAGAGAGAAAAAAAATTACATGTTTGAAATTACCCTGTGTTATTCATACAAATAATATGGTCAATATTTCATCGATGAATTTGCAATGAATCGATTGTTGTTGTTTTTTATGTAAAAATTCTTAAGTTTTTACCTCTGAGTACTTTAAAAAAATTGAGAATTTATAGTAATGTTTACGTGAAAGTGGTTTGCTGTTATGTTTTTATTGTTTTAATACATTTTATCTTGCGCTAATCGTAAAACTACAGAACTTTAGGCTTAACTTTAAACTTTTATGAGTAATACGTTTTTGTCAATAGCGTCATAAACATAATTCAAGTATATAATTTTGATCATTCTCTTTTTCGATACACTTGATAAAACTGATTCATTTGTTTGTTTAGGGTTTTAGCGCAGAGCTACATGAAGGCTACTGAGTTGGCTGTCCTCACTTTTAAGCTGGTGGACTAGAGTTAAGGCAGCTAGTCAACAGGACCCATTACCAACTATTGGGCTAGTCAATTCGAATAAGGAGATGTGATCGTCACTCTTATAACAGATCATAGGGACGCAGATCATAGGCGATCAGATTTACGGCCCGTACGCGAAATTAACCATCTGGCCACGCCCAGCCCTTACCAAATGCTTTATGTAAAGATTTCTCCATTAACCCTATGGTTTACAGATGTTCACACGTCATTCAAAAATAAAAATGCCTCATAATCCAAGGCTAACTTATTGGGAAAACACCTTATTACTGTCTTGTCGTCGGCGCTGGTCTCAAAGATGATCGAGGCTCTTTTTCATAGTGCATCTTGCATGACACTCAGGAAAGCAAAATGGTACAGCTATAATACATGGATGGCATTGCATAATCCAGTGTTATGTTATCTATCCCACGTGCTACAATCGAGATGTCCCTAAGTAACAGACAAATAATACATAAAATTAATCAATGCACAACATCTCATCATTCGTATCAACTGCGCGAATGAGTGATTGCCTGGTAGAATTATGAAATAATTCAGATTCATGTATCAAGTTGTTAATCTCCACTAACAGATAATTAAAATCGAGAACTGTAGTCTTTCTTTAGAAGTATTCCAGACTTCTTAGTCAATCTGCTCAATGAATTCTTCTCTCTCTAGTTGGATTGTTGTACGAGGGATTTTATAATGTTAACAATTCAAACACGTTAACAAAATCGCTAATTATTTACCAGCAGTGTTTACTTTATCGATAACAGGTTTTGTAACTGCAGTGGTACAAAATCGTGCCCTGTTTTGGCAACTATCGTACCTCCAGGATACAACAAGCCATACGAGGATCAGGTTATCACACTCTGTCAAGCTGATCATCACGTTGCAGCTTTTTTGATTGAAAGGAACAATCTGTGTCGACAGTTGAATCGAGAACACCCCGCTTTAAGTGCCCAATCCTACTCGACTTCATTACTGCACGGAGTAATCTACGTGTTAGTTTACAGGACATCCATACAACGTTGCTTTGTCTAAGGAGAAGTATAGCCTCCAGCAGAATTCACGAAATTTGAACGGTGTTTCGAAGTAAAAGGTAGATGTTCATATTTCTCATCTATTTCAATGAGGACAAAAAAAATGTTAATATTGTATATCTTATCTCTTTCTTTCTTTAATAGGTAAATTAATTCAATATATTACCCTTCTTCAATGGTTAACAGTATTGTTTATTATTTTTTTTCCTGTAATAGTAAATATAATTGTATACGTTCTTTCTTTAATGTTCCCCGGTGGGAGAGCGGCCAGTCTACGGACATATAACGCTAAAATCCGAGGTTTTATTCCCCACGGTGGACACAGCAGATGACTCAAAGTGGCTGTCCTCTAACACAAACAAGTTTTGTGTAATAACTAATTTAATTTTATACCCTGTCTCTTTCTTTAACAGTTGAATTAATTCTTAGAAGATGTTATGACGAAGAACCAGTAGGAACACAAACGTGAACATGGAAAAATGTAGAAAATGAAGCCCACGCTCTTTTGAAAGTAGTAATGTCTCCTTCAGTTTTTATGTTCATGAACGGATAATAGAAAGTTAACGAAAATGCTATTGTATAACTTAAAATGTCTACGAGTTAGCCAAGTTGCTTGTGTATAATGAATATAAGCTGTGAAATTAGCCTTAAGGTTGTGTAAACCCCCCACGAAGCAAGCTGCGAAATTACGTTTTAAGGTATGGCCGCCAAGAGTTTAGAGAGGGTTCAGGTCAAACTTAAAATATAGAGGCTCCTTTCACAAAAGCCTTTGTATATTGTATGAATTTATTTTGAAAATTAGTCAATGAATAAGAATTTTTAGTAATGGTAATGAAATTATTATGGTAGATTTTCACACAACAAGAAGAATTCAAGGTAAAAGTATCAACGAGCCGCACATTACCGAATATCAAATCAAGACACTTTTGAAGAAAAAATATTTCCTACATTGGGAAGCTCTATCTTATATCATTCATATTCTTTGTTTTTTTTTAGATATTTTTTTTCTGGTCCACTTCTCGTATTATTTCAGTTTTAAGTAATTATGTGTATTTTATGAGACCTTTTGAATTAAGAGCCCCATGAAAAATGCCTCTGATGCTTCTCTTTGGGCTGCCGTTTCTTAAGGTATAAACCTCCCACGAAGTAAACTACGAAATTGCGTCTTAATGTGTTAAGAATCTCAACGAAATAAATTGTGAAATTACGTTTTAACATATTATAAGCCTCCACAAAGTAGTTACACATTAAAGTATTATGAGCAGATTTTCCTTTAGTACTTTCCTTGAAGATAGAATTCGTCTATAATAATTTTAAAAAGTTTGAATGCAATGCAGGATTCGCCTTATCGGCTTTTGTGTCTACTCAAAGCTCTGTCTATAAAGTTGTATTTATCATTAGCACACAACGGAGACAAAGTCAGCTGCTAAAATTTGGAAAGGCCAAAGGCCAACACTAGGCAAGGTCAAATAGGATAAGAAAAAAAAAGAACATAGAGATTAAAAAAAAATACAGACAGGAAGTGTAATGCTCATTGGAGTTGGAAATAAACTGTTAGGTTATACCTAAAGTCAAAAAGGTGAATATTAAGCGAATATATCGTAACAAAAAGCTGGGAGTTGTTAAAGCTTCAGTTAGAATTGGTGAAAATACCCACATCAACTACTTTGGGGTTATCTAAAATATAACAACCGAAATAACACCGATCCCTGGGATTCCACTAGCTCAGCTAAAGGTGTGAGCAAGATCGTAACCGAATGAAGCTTTATATCGTTTACATATGATAGGTGGAAGCTTTATAACATTTAAATGTGGAAAGTGGAAACTTTATATTGTTTAAATGTAGAAGATGGAAGATTTATAACGTTGAAATATGATATATGGAAGCTTTATAACATTTAAGTACGGTAAGTAGAAGCTTTATAACATTTAAATGTGGAAAGTGGAAACTTTATAACGTTTAAATGTAGAAGATGGAAGCTTTATAACATTTAAGTATGGTAAGTAGAAGCTTTATAACATTTAAATGTGGAAAGTGGAAACTTTATAACGTTTAAATGTAGAAGATGGAAGCTTTATAACGTGTACGCGCGAAAGATAGATTCGTGCACTTTTATGAATATATGTAATCTTCTTTTAGATTTCCTTCGGACAGAGGATTTGAGACTGTTTAGCTTTCCAGCTTATTAAATAGCAACAGTTGTTTATAAGTTCTGTAAAACATGATTAAACATCTAGCTTTCTGCAACAGTTCATTTAGTTATGTAATGAATTATGTCTTTTGATTTTTTCCCGTCCTTTTAAGCCAGAAGAAGAGGTTTAATTTTATAAATATTTTACTCAAGGTTTGATAATATCCTTAATTTATTTTTATAATGAATTGCTCTTCTACATATGGCCTGGTGGTTTGGGCACTCGACTCGCAATCTGCGGATCGTAGGTTCGAATTCCCATTACCGAACATACTCGCTCTTTCAGCCGTGGAAGAGATTATAATGTGACGGCTACCCCCACTATTTGTTGATAAAAGTATAGCCCAAGAGTTGACGGTGGGTTTGCCTTCCCTCTAGTCTATCACTGTTAAATTAGAGACGGCTAGTGCAGATGGCCTTTGAGTAGCTTTGCGCGAAAGTCAAAATAAACCAAATTCCGGCAATACCTCTTTAGGGTAAATTTCGTTTGTTTGTTGTTAAGCACAAAGCTACAAATAAGCTATCTGTGCTCTGTGAAAAGCGGGTATCGAAACACGATTTTTAGTGCTATAAGCCCTTAGATTTACCGCTGGGACTCCGGGGGATCTCAGTAAAATAATGTCAATAAAAAAACAATAATGATTTACTTCATATTTTTTGTCTCAATTTTCCAAAACCGATAATAACAATCATATTCATCCACACAATGATGATTAAGTGTTTGCTAATCAGTTTATGGCTTAGTATTATTGGGTATCAACTATAAGTTAACAGTTTGATAATCGCGTGTAAGACAATCAAAGCTATCCATCTCTCTGTAAGAACAATAACTAGAAATAGTTTAAAGATAATCACACAATTTAGTATATACGTGTACTGTTCTGAGGCAGAAAGATCAGAGTTTAAGAACTCGACTGTTTTACTCAAATAGCAAGCTGTCTGAAACGATAGTGAATTGTCCTTGACATTTGCTTATATTAAAGTCAGAGTTCTAGGTCTCAACTGTTTTAATTTGCACGAGGCTAAGAACACAGATACTGATCTTAGGTAAAAGTTTAATATTGCCTTTTAATATGTAATGAACCGGCCTTTGCATTTATTTATCTGAGGATAAACGGCTTAAGGTCTTCTATGCTTCAGAATGATTGGCAGTTACCTTATATAATGAGTCAGTAAATTTAGCAATGAACTGTCTTTGGAATGTATTAATTTTTAGTGTCAAACGTCAAGAACTCAGCCTTTTTTGTTGTGTATATAACCAATCAGAAAGTAAGTTATGAAACTTAACGTGAAGATTGTTCGTACTACTTATTGGTCATTATGTCAAAGTTCATGGTATCAACTGTATAGGCTAACTAGTGCTAAAATGTCATTTTTCCTTCAATTCATTTTGTTATAAAAAACACGTAGGTTCAATAAGTCTTGATACAAAATGATAAAAACCCTATAACCCGAGCACTTTCGAAAGGTGGATCTTTCTTCTTTCGGGGCAAACTCATGTAAAAACCTAATTTCCTGAAATGTTTATATTAAGAAGTGAGAGAAGAGCCTGCGTATTCCTATTTCCTCTGTATCAGATGAGCTTACATGTAAAGCTTGTTTTGCCCTTTTTTCTGTACATACACACTAAAAAGTGCTGTACAAAATTTTTATGTGTAATGATACAATGAAAGTATACCTTCTATAATTGTTTCATTGCGCCTTATGTGTCGTAAGAGCCAGTAATCTGAAGATAGTTAAAATGAAAGGAAAACAAGAAACTGTATCACGTGCTTAATTTCTGTATTGCGCTGAGATAAAGAGATAACACAAATCATCACTAACCCGTGTGTAGGAAGAGGTGATTTTTTAGGTTGGTTTGCTTGCTGAACCCTCGGTTACAGATGTGACACTTGAAAGGCCACGAACCGTTGTGGACGTACATGTGGCTCTTCAGGTCTCCTGGTGTTGGAAAGGATTTGTCACACAAGGTACACTTGTGGGGCTTCTCCTTGAAGAAAAAAAAAGTCACACATAATACTAGACATGTTTTTATAGTAAAATGTGTAAGCAAGTCTACCACAAATTATTAACTGTGTTACTGTAACTATACAACTTACGGCTTATTACATAGACACTTGACTAAATGAAATATTAGAATTGATGGCTTATTATAAAAATAACTGATTAGACTAAACAGTGGAACGTACGGCTTATAACTTGGGCACTTGACAAAAAAAAAGAAAACGTAGAACCTATGGCTTATTACATAGATATTTAACTAGACGAAACAGTAGAATTTGCGGCTTATTACGTGTATACTTTACTAGACGAAACAGTAGATGTTACAGCTTGTTACTTGGATACTTTACTGGATGAAACAGTAGAACTTACAGCTTATTACTTGGATACTTTAATAGACGAAACAGTAGAACTTGCAGCTTATTACTTGGATACTTTACTAGACGAAACAGTAGAAGTTACAGCTTATTACTTGGATACTTTACTGGACGAAACAGTAGAACTTACAGCTTATTACTTGAATACTTTAATAGACGAAACAGCAGAACTTACGACTTATTACAAAAAAGAGGTGACTAGCCTTTCGAAGTAAAACTGAATATTTAACAGAAATTTCCTGCGCGTTTTTAAAATATATAACTTTGGTTTTCAAAGCAAAGAAAATATGAACTGCCGCGTTTAGTAGCTTGAGAGATCCGTAATACGTTCGCTAGAATAATTAAACCTTGCTGGTGAGATCATTTATGTGTTCGTTAGAAACATCAAATTTTACTAGTGAGGTCCTTTATACAAACGTTAGAAGCATTAAACTTTGAGGATGTAATCCAATCTTGACGACAATATATATGTTTCGCATAGTTATATTGAACTCTCCAGTGAACAAACAAAACGAACAATAACATGAGAATAAGCGTGAGTCAACAAGTGTAATATTACACTACAAATAAAAGTAACGGGTCACTAGATATATATATATATATTATCTACAAATCGATTGATGATATCAGTTCTTCATTGTGACTCAATACCAACGTTATACCACTCCATAAAGGCAAAACACCTTTAAATCATGCATATGTTTTTATCCCAGCACTGATAACTGATAGAATAATTACCACAAGTTGCATGAACAGTTTCGTCATTTTTTTTATTAATTGTATAGTCAAGGTTATGAAAGTTTACACAGTCACTTCTATACAGCATGGGTATTAGGATAACGAATGTATTTCACTAGATATAGAACCACAAACTTATTTGTTTGATACTCTTTCTTAATTTCTGTTCATATAGCATTCTATCCATAGTCAAGGAGATTCAGTTGCAGAAGTTTTGAGGATCAGTTTGTAACAAGTATGACATGTATCAGGAGCAAGAACCAATTTTGGGAACTGAATGACAAGGAATATTTTGCTGAAGCTTTTTTTGAGAGAAATCAGTTGCTAAGAAAGGCTGATATGTTAGGGATAATAATTTATTATCACAGTTGAGAGCTAGATAACAATATTTATATGATAATGATAAGTAATCATGGCTTTGCCACAAGCAGCATCAGAAACATTCAAAAAGATCGTATACACAACTACTACATAATTAATAGACAAATGTCAGCAATCGATTTTTTAGCCAAATATATATATATTAAACTGGTGATCAGATCCATTGGATATAAAAAGGCACAATGCCCCTGCTTAATCAAACACATCTAGGGAAAGAACCCCAGTCAGTTTATACCAAAATATTATTTAATAAACAGTGTAGAGATATAGAAGAGTTACTATAGGAACTTTTCAAAGTATAGGTCTGCCTTTAATGCATTAGTTTCTATATTAGTCTCTTTCAAAATGTTTTTCCTCGTGTAAAGATTTCAACGAGCTATACAATAATTTATGGTATAAGGCATAAAGCATATGTGATATGTTCACTCGACAGTTATTTACACCACAGCCTGCGTAACAATTGCAAAAACAAGAATACTAACAAATACTGAGACATGATAGTAACGTTTGTTTCCTACAATTCAAGAAGATAGTATTATCACTTGCGCAAAGTCTCAACATTTCACAGGTTTATATTTCACAAACCAACTCCGCCTTAAATAGGCATATTGTACATCAGTGGTCTGTTTCATAGGAATATACCTTGTTCCATTCGGGATTATAAACACGTCTGAAATTTAGACAGGAGGTGTACTTTCCAAACGGAACAAGGTGTATTTCTTAGTGATTCCATCAGCAATTACGATACTAGGCTTGTTTCTCACAAGAGTTTTTTTTTCTCTTCATTCTATAAAATGTATTTTATATTCTTTTGTGCGCCAATTTAGAAGTTAAGTGCACTAAATTAGGAGATATAGTTTGGACCTAGTGTACACTACCTGAAACTAGCAGTCTGATAGAAGTGATATTTGAATATAGTTTTAGTTACAAACCATTTTGTGCAAATTAGTGCAAACATTTTTCTAAGTAGTACCCCCGTGTAGGATAGCGTGAATAGCCTTTAGAGTGGGGATAATTCTTTAGCACTGCAAAGACCTGCAGAAAGTATGTTGACACATAATTACTTATAAATATTATGTTTATGTAAGACTCATGATGAAATATTTCGATGAAGGAAACTTTGATCGTTTGACAAGGAGTTTTAATTCAACATGTATAGGTCAGGAAGAAAAAGGTTGAATTACTATCTACCTAATAAGAAGATATGGGATATTTATTTTCAAAAGACAATTCGCAACGAAATATCTGAACAGCTTTGATAACTCTTTTTTGGGGGAATTTGGAAATGATACTTATATCTTGCAGACATTGACAAGTGGTTTTTAAAATAATCAATTTTGTATCTTATATGCCTGCTTGTCATAGGTTTTGCTAACATAAGATGGGATTGAACAACAAGAAAAGTAAAAGTTCAATTTTCTGTAAATCGTGGATCACTGTGTGGTGGTAAAGGTCTGTTAATATAGCACAAAATTATCTTACCTTGTTATGGGTAATTATGTGGTTATAAAGGTTAGAACTGACTGTAAATACCGAGGCAAAATAACTTACCTTGTGGGTCATCTTGTGATAATAAAGTTAGAAATGATAGTAAACACAGCAGAGAAGTACCTTATCCTTGCTGTGGGTCATGGTGTGGTAATAAAGATTAGAAATAACTGTAAAACACAGCAGAAAAAATACCTTACCTTGCTGTGGGTCATCTTGTGGTAATAAAGGTTGGAGCTGGCTGTAAACCGTTTTCCACAAATTTGACATTGGTGTGGTTTCTCACCGGAGTGGATTCTTCGATGAGTATTGAGGGAGCTGGATGTACTGAAACCTTTTCCACACACATCACAAGTATGCGGTTTTTCTCCTAATAAAAAATTATCACTACAACTGAGCACATGAACACCGACTATAAAGTAAAAATTCAATTCGAACGACAAACTACCAATCTAGGTAAGAATTCGTAAAATGTTCATGATTATAATCGGTAGATCACTAGCTAGAAATACATTCTTAGCATCATTCCTTGGAGGCATAGCTGTAACATCACTAGCTGGGGTACTAATTGTAACATTACTAGTTGGAGTACTAATTGTAACATCACTAGCTGGGGTACTAATTGTAACATTACTAGTTGGAGTACTAATTGTAACATCACTAGCTGGAGTACTAATTGTAACATCAATGTTACAATTAGTACTCCAGCTAGTGATGTTACAATTAGTACTCCAGCTAGTGATGTTACAATTAGTACTCCAACTAGTAATGTTACAATTAGTACTCCAGCTAGTGATGTTACAATTAGTACTCCAGCTAGTGATGTTACAATTAGTACTCCAACTAGTAATGTTACAATTAGTACCCCAGCTAGTGATGTTACAATTAGTACTCCAGCTAGTCCTTACAGAGGTTTGAAATTGAAGATATTTTTCATTCATTGCTTCTACAATGTCGTTGTACTGGTGCTATAATGTCTAAACTTCGAAAAAAAAAGTTCTACCTTAAACAATAATAATATCACGCATTCGTACATGTAACTTTTACAAAAAAATAGAGCAAGTTCTCAAACCATTGGAGATTAGAAAAATTCATATTATGTTACCTTGCAGGGAAAAGGTTCTTTCAACTTTAAGGACTTAACAATACTTTCAACTAGTAATGTTGCTACTATATATCCATCAAGTAATGCTACTTTTACTACTACAGTACGTGTATCTAGTAATGTTACCAGTATACCGTCACCTAATTAATAATGCTACTATTACTTCTAGGAGGTGGTAATGCTACTACTATTACTTCCAGCTAGTTTTGAATCTTATAGTTTTATTTGTTTGTAGTTAAGCACAAAGCCACACAAAGGGGAAATCTTATAGTTGTTTGACGTTGATGATACTATTTAAACACTACTTCAACAATGTGACTTTACTGAAATAAGGACTGTTTAAGCTTTATAGAGATTTGGCATTGAGGATACTAGCTATACAATATCACCCAACTGAAACAAGAACTGTTTAAGCCTTATAGAGGTTGAACATTGAAAATACTAGTTATACACTACATCAACAATGAAGTATACTGAAACAAGACCTCTATAACCAGTTCGTGTTTCATTAGAGTAATATTGTTAAAGTAGTGTATAAATAGTATCTTCAACTTTAAGTCTTTATAAGGCTTGCAGTTCATTGTTCGACTGACAAATAGCAATAAATAAAAGAGTGAAACAGAAACAATATTTTATGCAAATACCAACCATTTTATAGCTACTTTTTATTGTCATTGTACATATTTCAATGTTAGGTTTAGTACAACCCAGGTTTTGTTTTGTATTCACATTTGAAATGTTGAGTTACTGAGTTCTATTAATTTTCCTTGGCAGTCAGATCTTTAGTTACGTTATAGTGATTATATAATATACTGTTACTTATGAGTATCCACTTAAAACATGTTGCTAAGTGTATTTCAAGAAACATATTGAAAGATGTTACTAAGTAAAATCTCAAGTGACATGTTATTAAGTAGAATCTTACGTAACATATCGAAACATGATGCTAAGTAGTATCTCACATAATATATTGAAGCATGTTACTATGTAGCATTTTAGATAAGGTATTGAAACATGTTGCTAAGTAGTATCTTGCATGACGTATTGAAATATGTTATTAGGAATTACATTACGTAACATACTAACATATGCTGTTAAGTAGTATGTTATATAACCTGTTCAAACATGGGGTAGCTCTAAGCTTGAGAACATTTGTCCAGATAGATTTCTAAGAAGCCCTAACAAATAAAATGAAATAAACCATTTAATATTTGACAGATATCTCTATTTTTTAATCGTGTGAGAAGTTGCTAAAACTTATGTTTAGACACTCTTCACAAGTCAAAGAAAATCATGTAACAGATTTGGTGACAGAAACATAGAAATGCAATTAAATTTTTGAAAATTAATGGATATATATATATATATAGAGAGAGAGAGAGTTTTCGTTGTGCTTGTAATTAAAAACTTGTCCATTTAAATCAAACAACACTCATTCTGTCTTTAAAACCATAGAAACTATTGTTTGAAGAAGTAAATACTGACTTCGTTTCTATTAATTATAACTGTATTATAAATCATTGTTATGATTATATCCCTATTTTTATAACGAAAAGCAATAGGAACACAAGAATTTATGGTGTTTTATTGTTTAAATCTAGTATTAGAGCTTCTTGTGTTCCTATTGCTTTTCGTTATAAAAATAGGGATATAATTTATGGTGTTTTATTGTTTAAATCTAGTATTAGAGCTTCTTGTGTTTCTATTGCTTTTCGTTATAAAAATAGGGATACAATTTATGGTGTTTTATTGTTTAAATATAGTATTATAGCGTCTTGTGTTCCTATTGCTTTCTATTTTTAACTAGTATTAAACCTTTTTTTTTTGCTTGTTTTCTGTTTTGAACAAGTGTTATCGTTTTTGTGTCATTACTTTTCCTATATTAAACCACTACGTGTTTGTTATTAAACACAAAGCTACACAATAGGATTATCTGTGCTGTGCCCACTACGAGTATCGAAATTCGGTTTTTAGCGTTATAAGTTATTAGACTTCCTGCTGAACCAAACTAGTTGTTAAACTAGTGCTATAATGCTCTTATGCTCCTATTTTTTTTTCTCTTTTAAACTAATGTTATTGTTTCTTGTGTTTCCATTACTTTCTGTTTAAAACCAATGTTGTAGTTTTTGTGTTTATATTAATTTCCGATTTAAAGTAGTGTTAAAGCTTTGTCTTCATGTTGTTTTATGGTTTTAAATAGTTATAGATCTAATCTTCATATTTGATTTCTGACATTTCTTACAGATCTTAAGTTTTTATCTTTCTTTACATAGAAAACGTGTTCACATTTGAATATGCAGGTAAACAGCTGTTTCGTTTGTGATATAAAAAGATATATATTTCTGTTATTGTGCATTTTCTGGTGTTGCCTACAGTCCTACTTGTTGTATTCCGTGTTATAAGCTATGCTTAATACTGACGTATCTCTTATAATGCTATAAACACATGGTAGTAATATATTGTTGTAGGTTATGTTTTTACCTTGAAGTTTCTAGTAATTTGTATTATTTTTTAGCCGGAATGACGCTTATCGTGTCGTGATGGGCGGGGCGTTAACGACTAGAATTTTTCTTGAAAATTTAGCAAACATTTTGAGCCATATATAAAAAGCGAGTTAGGCCAGAGTGGATTGCTAAGTCCTGGATAATTTGGTCAGTCTGTCTGGTACTGTCAGTCTGTTTGTCACTTCCTTGCTGTAAATATTGAGAAATAAAGATACACAATTAGAAAGTAAGTGAAACTTCTGTTACCCATAATTTATTGGCGAAGTTAGGTTTATCGGTGAAGGTTGTTTATGTTACGAATAGTTTGTTTGTTATCAGACATAAAGTTACACTATGGGCTATCTGTGTCGAAATCCGTTTTTTAGCGTTATAAGCCCATATTTACTGCTGAGCCACCAGGGGACATTAAAAATGGATCTTGAAGAAATAAAAATAAAGAAATAGATAAGTGAACTGAACTTTCCATTATCGTATTAACCGAACAATTCTGAAGAACCCATCCAACAATAAAGTCCATTACAACATTATTATGTTGTTCACTTACCTGTATGTGTACGCATGTGTCTTCTGAGCAAGGAAGGACGGTCGAAGGCTTTGCCACACACTTCACAAGGTAACTCACGGGCTCTCTTTGCTGGCTCCGGGCGAGCCTCAATACCTGTAGGCTTCATAATTAAGACAAGACGAACGATCAACTTAAATAACACGCGAGGCTCTTAATCTTAAGCTATATAATAATAGAAATATAAATCTGTGTAAACTAAGGCATAAATGATCCCCCACTTGACTACAAGCATTACATTCACACTTGGCTATATTTACCTCATCTCTCAAAGAAAGAGAATTACTGGATAGAGAGCGCCGTTCGTTTGGCTGTCTATAACTTTTGTTTAAAAGCTGGTGATCTCCATTTTTAAAACAACTTACTGGAACTCTTGAAGATAGTAGAGACTTCGACAGGTCAATGGGAGACTCTGGAAAAAATTGCGTGGATAAATGGGCGTGCATAGACAAACTCTAAAAGATCGATGTATGAGTTGGTATTGTCAGTACGTACATGATGTAGTTCAACAAGCTTCACATTTAGCTACTTCATAGAGTGAGTTAATAATATCTCTTACTATCGTGTTATTCGTTAATATTTAAATGTTCACACGAACTAAACAGCACTTAACAATGAACTATTTCTGTAGCTGAGAAAGATGAGCTGATGACCATATGGCTACAGAAACAGTGGGTCTGAGAAACTTGGACTAATAAGTACATGGTTACAGAAGCACCTAGCCTGAGAAAGTACAGCTAACGATCATATGATTACAGAAGCTCTAAACCTCAGAAAGCCCAGCTAATGAATATAAGGTTACAGAAACCCTGAGACTGAAAAAGTCCATCCAATGAATATACGTGTTTTGTTTTGTTTTTTGTTTTTTGTTATTATAAAGTATATAACTTCATTATTAACTGAAAAAGTCCATCCAATGAATATACGTGTTTTGTTTTGTTTTTTGTTATTATAAAGTATATAACTTCATTATTAACGTTGTCATGAAACAGGTTATTCACAGGCGTAATGGCCCCTTAAATACTTGGGTTGTTCATACATCTAGTATAACAGTTTCATAAATTAAAATCAAGGTTTTTAATGTTCTTGTCCGCAATTACTATACTGAAAAAATAATTGTTTTAAATTTAAATAAGTAAAAAGCGCCTGTGTATAAATTATCTGAAAGCAAACATACAAGTTTATATCAATAAACAAGTAAATATTAACTTGAAACTGTACAGGAAGTAAAATTAACTATGCAGAACATTAATTAAAATTTTCAAATTAAGTTTCTTTGTTTTTCATTTATAGTGCTTGATATATAGTTAGGTATTTTTGTTGTTTTTAAATACGTGAATGTATTGGAAATTTGAAAAAGTATTATACATTTACACATAATTGAATGAAATAATTTGAGTAGATTCAATTAAGTAAATTATAAAACAACTGATTTTTTCGCAATATTAAGTGTAGATAAGAGCACTGAAAACCAGGATATATAACTGAAGGTAACTTACAAAAACGGAAAAAAAGAAACGTGGTAATAAATTATAGTGGTAGCAATAATGGCCTTATAACCTATTAATGAGCTTTCCACACACCTTATTATTAAGTAAACAGCTTTTATCAGATATATTTCAAAAGGGGTTTAAATTTTAACTTACGATCAAAGGAATATATCTACTTAGATCAAACTAAAGATCTACCCGGTTATGAGTATAGCTAATTAAGTATACTTTTCTTATCCCTATTTATAAATATTATAATGCATTGTTTCATCAGTTGGGTTACATTATGTTAGAAAAGACTTAAGTAAACAGTCTATAGGGGTGAGTTGAATAAACTGTTTAAAGGGGGTATGTTTGTGGAGATTTATAATGCCTAAAGGGATATGTTTCTTCAGGCCTAAATAAACTGCCTATATGGGTATACTTATGGATGTTTAAATTGCCTATAGGGCTATATTTATAAGGACTTAAATAAATCGTGTATAGAGTACGTTTGTAGAGACTTAAATAAGCTACCATTAGAGCTATGTTTGTAGGGACGTATGTAAACTGCTTATAAAGGTATGTCTTTTTGTATGTATGCCAGTGAGAGTATGTGACTTGTAGTCAGGATATAAAGATTAAAATTGATCAATATAATTCTTGCATATCAGACCTAGACTTGTAGTTGAATAAACTGGGACAGCAGAAAGTCTTCGGATTTATAATGCTAAAATCAGGGGTTAGATTCCCTTCGGTGGACATACCATAGCCCCATGTGGCTATGCTATAAGAAAAACAAACACAAGTAAGCCTACTTCGTTTATATAGTTATAAACTGATGTGGAAAGTTTAGTTTGCTCTTACTTTAAATTTATGCAAATATTTGTTGAATAAGTATAACAATGACCATTTGTCAGCTTACGGGTTCTTCATTTTTAGCAGGGTTTCAAGCTGCTGCACCTTATGTATAAAAGAGACGAGTTGAGAAATCTAAAGTGATTATTAATGTCCAAAAAATATTTGCAACACCTACCCCTGATAACAGTACGAAGTCACAACAGTTTAACAAAATTTTGTATTTACTTACCTTCCAAAACTAAACAGACTGTTTGTCGACAGTGGGCCGCAGTTAGGCGTCGGGAAACTAGGAGAGATAATGTACTTTCGCGATCTTCCCCCAGCGTTTCGTAATAAACTACCAGCTCCGTGTTAGGTGCGACATTTTGGACAACTTCGTAGACGGGTTCACCTTTGACTAAGGAGCCAATAAGGTTGACCTCAGGGCAAAAGGTCGGAGAAACCCGAAGAAACCGTACCCAATTACAATGGCGTCCGATGTCTTGAACTTCATCATAGCAACCAAACTGATGGCGTACCTGCATGTAGAAAGGAGGAGAACACATGTGATATATGTGCTTACCTTTTCAAGAGTTAATTGGAACAAGGCTGTCATTAGCTACAAATTCTGCTCTACTTGTCTCAGAGACCCTATTGAAACTCTGGGGTTCCCATTCTAGCGTTATTCTTAATGGTAGCACCCCTAGAGTTTGACGTTAAATCAACAGGTGCCAGAGGGTCATTGTTCTTGGAAGAGATGGCTTACATGACCGGCCGCTTGACTGACCAGTCCAGCAGCCGTGAGTTATGACCACTCTCTTCAACAATGTAGGATCGTCAACTTTTAGACAGTTAGGGCAATTTCTGTAATTACCACTGACAAAGAAGATACCTGAAACGTCCATGTTTGAGTGAAAGGCAGCCTTAAAGAACACTCCGAAGTGCCCTGCTGACACTTTTACGACTTGCAGTGATGTTTTAGCATGAACTCATTCTTCAGTTTCTGTCAGTGTTTCAAGGACTGAGCTTTGACCTTTCACAAAGTTCAACGAAATACCACAGTGATTTGTTTTTAGGAGGTAATCTTACCAATATTTTTTATTCTTTCCATAACAACAAAGTTGCCAAAATATCCATTGATAATATTTGTTTCCAAGAGGTGGTCTTACAAAGATATTAACATCTTTTCTTGTTCCCATAACAACTAAGCTCAACAAAATACGCAATAATGAGGTTTTTTTCTTTTAAAAGTTGATCTTATTTACTATCAAACAGGTATTTTTTTCTTAACCAAACTCTATACTTATTCATATTTGTTATCTCAAAATACCATTAATTCAGTAGTGACAATAAAAGCACGAAAATGTTAACGTCACCTAATAAGTGCTTTTGAAATGCTTAAGAGTTCTTTTGGTATTTTGTCAAGAAATTTATACAAGAGCTGTTTAGGCAGAAATTATGTCAGTAAATGTTTAATATCTATATACATAAATATTGTTATACACGTGTATAATAATATCACAGAACAGCATATTTTGGAGTTCTAAGACACGGCTTATATTGGAACATTTGAAATAATAAATAAGGTAAAAAGACACCTAAATTGGTTTATAAAATAATTACTTAAACTGTGTCGACGTTTCATCATTATGACAGGTAAACAGCGATGAAATGTTGACGTATTTTGAGTAATATTTTTATATTCTATTTCTTGCTGTTTTTAACCTTATTTGTTACCAAACATCCAGAAACCTTCAGAATTCCAAATTTTAAATAAGATTTGAGTTTTCTGCTTCACTAGTAGTTGAAACATTTCTTTTAAATTTGTACTCTCCTCGATGTTAGATGGATGTTGTATAGTAAAAATTTGAAAAATCGTGCTGAAAGTACTGAATATTTACTGTCACGGATATGAACAAAATGTGGTCGAACATAGATGCGCCTGTTTTGTAATCAATTAATTACCTTAATGAATTTACATTGAACAATATACATTTCTACTAAGTTTTTGTTTTTAACTTTCATTCGTTTAATTACACTCATTACACATAGAACAGATCTTTCCTTTAATTAATCAGGATGTTTCAGAAATTACGAATAAATAATTAAAAACACTAACACAATTAGATCTTTGTTCATTAGCGTCAAGGTGTATCTTACAATGTAAATCAACACAGGTCTAATTTTTACTTATGTTTCATGATTTAATCTTTGGATGTCTTTCAATTCTGGATCAAATAAACCTTTGTATTTAGTGGGAACTCTAAAAAACTGTTTGCAGTTCTGAGGCAGGGAAAACGTTAAGTATATGGTCGTATTTACTCCTGTTACTATGGTCTTATTTACTCGTGTTACTATGTAATTTGTTACTAAATAGCATAAATTATACCCCAAAAAAATTTAGCAATGAATTATCAGACCGAAGCATTAATTTAAATTACTTCCATTCTTCCACGTGTAATCTATCGGTTAAAGTATTAATTCTAACCTGTTCATATCCAGAGTCATCATAAAGTTAGTTGACCTATTTTTTTCCCTCGTTACTACCTAAATCTCAATTAGTTTTGGGTCGGCCAGTATTTTTGTAAGCCAGGAAGTTTTACACCCTGGTTGCTAGCCCAGTCGGCAGCCATATAGGAGGACATGTTCGGCCATGTTCGGTGACGAGGATTCGAACTTGGGACCCTCAGATTGCGAGTTGAGCGCCCTAACCACCAGATCGTGCCAGGCTCGCCTTATTCTATTCAGTACATAATTTGAAAACATAACACTAGTAAACTGTAATATTTGGTATATGAGGTAGCGAGATGACTGGAAAAGCGATTCCATTGTTAAAAATACTTCTCACCACAAAGCGCTTCAGTATAAGTTGCAAACCGATGACTATAGAAAATAACATCAAACCTGTCAGGATTTATCCTGTCGTTAGAAATTACTCCTCCCAGTATATCCCTGAATATTAGAATTGTTCTTATAAAGTATTACTACAATGATGGTAATAATGCTAGTGCAACATTAAGATAACACTGACGTTATTGGAGGCTTATAATCAAACTTGAACAAAGAGAATCAGTTGTTAAGGTTAAAAACGACACCTGTGTAAATTCTAAATAACACAAGTGTTAAAATAATGGCTGGAGACGGCTTGAATGTGTAATGAAGAAAAACTTTAATATAAGTAAGGTCTCCAGCCATTATTAGTCTCAAAGTGGGTTCCTCGTCATCGAATAAGTGTTAAAAGAAAATCAAGGTTTAATGATGACAATGTAAAAACATAGAAACATGTCGAATGTATGAGATTGTTCCCGGTCTCAAGGTTTTTATCTTTATACATGAAATTATTTAATAAATGTTTTGTTGTATTTCAAGATATGGGGCAGTCTCATTTTTAAATATTTAGTGTATACCATTAAACGTTGGTTTTCTTTTAACATCTGTGTTATTTAGAATCAGTTGTTGTTCATATAGCTTGAAACAACTTATTGTTCCTACGCTTCAATCTCTTTGTTTCAGAATTTTCGCGCAAAATTCAAAGAAAAAGAAAAGACTGCCTGCGCATAACCGTCGCTAATTTTTAACTGATAAAGTATATCGGAAAATGAGCTAGTAAACACTACCTATCGACAACTATTGGGATACGCTTGGTCGACCGAATAGTAGAACTTGACCGTCACTATTTTACAGAAGAGGAGTTTTGAACGTTGTTGTTTTGTTGTTGTTTTTATTAAGCACAAAGCTACACAAAGAACTATTTGTGCTCTGCTCACCATGGGTATCGAAACCCGGTTTCTAGCGGTATAAGTCCGCAGACATACCGCTGTGCCACTGTGGGGCAGTTTTGAACGAAAGAGTCGGTAAGTAAGTCGGACTCCACCCTATATTGGACGGACTTTAGAGATAATGCTAGGACATGTTTTCAAGGTTCGATTAACCAGTTGATATTTTCCACACCATGGTCCGCTTGCTACCTTGTCAGACTTGAAAGATATCGTACGACATAGAGTACAAGTGATGGAAGTCGGATGGTATCACATTCTCTCAGGAACGAAAGCAGTAGTGGACATGAATGTTGATAACATTGAACACAGTTAACAAATTAGATGTGAGAATTTTATGATCAGCACCCTCTGGAGTGAATTATTTTATACCTACGAAATATTATAGCTTTTTGTTGATTAGTTTGGAGTTATGGACGTTAGAATATGTCAGCTAACTTTATAGAAAACCTTTGTGTACCTTATTTATTGCTTCACTAAAAGCTTTATGGAATATTTATTTCAGATTTTTTCCTCTCTTTCTGAGGTGGCTTTTATACATTAAAGTGTTGACTTAGGTTTTTGTATGAAAGAGTAGACTTATGTTTCTATATATTAAAGTAAATAATTATCTCTTCTATATTAACATCTAAAATTACTCTTGTATAAAACGAGGACATGATTTTTGTGTGTTGTTTATAATTTTATTTCGTCTTATAGTAAACTTGCTTGACATCCAATGATTAGTATTTGGGGAAATCAATTTCTTTAATAAACCAAGAACCGATATTTGTTGTTTCTATAGCCTCTAAATGTGAGAAAACTTCAAACAATTTCTGGTTTACTTTGTCTCATTTAAAGATGATTTCTTGTAATAAAATACTAATTCTTATTCTAAAAAAATGTAATAATTAAAGCAAACATGTGCAATTCCCAATTTCAATTAAATGACTTGAGTTTTTTTACCGAGAACAGGTCTGCATGACCTAGTGGTTAGGGCACTCGACTCGCAATATGAGAGTCGCGGGTTCGAATCCCATTTCCGAATATCCTCTTCCTTTCAGCCGTAAAGACATTATAATGTAACGGTTAATCCCGCTTTTCGTTAGTAAAGAATAGCTCAAGAGCTGGCGGTGGGTGGTGTTGATCTTTTACGTAGTCTATCTTTTTCTAGTGCCAGCTCCTCCAAAGAGAGGAGTGGTTCTTCCAAACTAGTAGGCTCTTCTGCTTTTGGAATCCCTTGTTCTGATTCTTCACTGGAAGAGGTCTCATCTTAGACAATGTACGTTCTTGGAGCAGTAAGGTCTTTTAGCTCAGTTTGGGTTTTATGTTTTTCCAGAAACGAAGGAATATCTCAGAACCTATATAAGATCCAGGATGAGCAAACCTTTCTTAAGGTGTTTCTTGAAAAAGAAGTAGTTCAGTAAGGTGAGTAAGCCTTCCGTTTGCTGTGGCCATTCCTGAACGTATTTAATATCTAGATATTGTGATGTTTAGATCATATAGACGTCGCTGTGGTCGCTTGGACCTTCCATTTCAAACTCACTAGAAGATTCTCTACGTTCCCTGGCTCTCACTCTTGCAGGCCTTACTCAATCTGCAGGTGTAACTCCAGGACCGTCTTCTAATGGTGTTGAAGGTTTAACTGGTCTTGAAAATTATGTTATCACAGCAGGGGATTCTTCTGCAGAAATCTGCATATTTTGTTTGGTGCTCTTTTTAAAATCTGTTTTGTGTATTCTATCGAAACCCTTAGGTGATTAATATAAGTATTGAAACACGTGTCACCATTGTGGTTGTGCGTCAGATACCTGGTCTTTTTTAGCACTCACATGTATTCTAGTTATCTTACAAGATGTTACAGCATGCATTAGTAGTTCACTGGAGATTAGAACAATATTATAAGCACAATCGAGATTTCTGAATACGGGTGGAGAGGGGGGGCTCTTCTGCTTCTTAACTTTGCAGTCGTAAAGCCTAGTTGTTCCTCTTCACTGAAAATGGCTTGTATAAGAGCAGAGTTTAATGTCAATGTGAAAAGTAATGGAACAAGGACATCACTTTGAAGAACTGCAGGTATGTTAGACAGTTCAGTCTGTCCACCTGGTAAGATAATTCTCACTTTTGTCTTGTTATATATCTTAGCAATAACTCAACAATGTTTACTCGTAGATTAACACACACAAAAATATAGAGAAAAACTGGTAAAGCAAATCAAACTCAAAATAACCAACTCAAGAATATAAATCAAGCTTAGTGAAGTAAATAAAACACCAAGTTATCTCACACAATAAAAAGAATTGTTGTTGTTGTTTTAGTGCATAGCTTCACGTGGACTTCTGCGCTCTGTCCAACGCAGGGAATCAAACCCCGAATTTTACTATTGTAAGTCCGTAAGATTACTGCTGAATTACCGGGAACCTCACACAATAATATTAATCTAAGTTAGTAAAACGAATCAAGAACCAAAATAACCCACGTGATAATATAACTCAAAATTATTAAAGAAAACCAAACACCAGATGTTTCCCAACTCAATAACATAAATACAAATTAGTAAAACAAATGAAACAGTACATTAACATACACAAGAATATAAATCAAAATTTGTGAAGCAAATAAAGCATCCAATTTTCCGATAAAATCGATCATGAAAATTACAACAAAGATTATCTCTCACGAAACAAAGAAATAGAATTAAGTTATATAAATCAAATATAAGCTTAACATTTTGTAATATATTAACGCAATTTATTTTTTAAACTATTTATTCATAATGAATATTAAAAACACGGTAATACAAAAAAAATCTTCAATACGGAAGTTTCTCGACTCCGGAACCACAGATTACGAACTCTTTATTAAAGAATACCTCTCCATTATCCTCCCCCCCCCACTGGCACAGCGGTATGTCTGAGGACTTACAAAGCTAAAATCCGGGTTTCGATACCCATTGTGGGCAGAGCACCGATGTATAGCTTTGTGCTTAATAACAAACAAACAGACATTAATATTGACATGATCAAAGTCTTCAAAATTGAAAATAAAAAACAAAAACCTGTAAATATGGTTTAGCAATTAAAATTTATATAGAACATCATTAGGGACACAATTTTTCTATAAATGTTTAAAGTTATAAACAAATAGGAAAAAGCGATTATGTAAACCTGAAAAAAAAATAACTCATTTAAAACACCTACATCAATGAGAAATCGTGATCGCACGCACTACCTTGATTGCACCAGTTCATGAAAGATGATTTCAAATATATTTAAACTTTAGAGTAATATAAGTGAACGTTTCTATACACAAAAGGGTAAGCCCTTCTATTTTATACAGTCAACTCTAGTTCCGTTATAATGATCAATCTACAGCTAAAAAAAGAGTAAAACAATTACAGCTGAAATAATTAAGGATAATTCTAGTTATTTGTTGTTGTTTTCATCTTGAATTTATAGATTCGCTCAGAACTTTTAACTTATAGAAGTTTTCATTCAAGCAGTTTGATAATATATATAACTACCTCTATGTCTTTCGTATCCCAGCCGACCTATATAATGTTTGGGGTTAAGAGAAATTGAGGTATCCATTGCTTGATGTTAAGATAATTTAAGCCTCCAAAATGCACAGGCTTGCGAATTTAAACCTCATAAAAGTTGTTTTGGTTTTAATAACGGGTCTTCCATGATTCAGCTACGCAGATTTCGAAAACAATATTAATTTTTTGCTTCTCACGTAAGGTTTTTTTTACAAATTGGGAAGGAAAAAACTCTTACTTAGATCAAATTATTATTTCATTTACCCCAATGAGCATTTTTAATTATCATGTTTCTTAAGAAAAATACAAATAAACTGAAGAAAAGAGAAGAACATTGATGGCAAATGAATATGAATCCTCATTCATCTTGATTTTTGTGTGAAATCTACGTCTTATAGTCTCAAACTACGTATTGTAGTCTTTCTTTTATGTATTGCGCTATGACGTTTTGTGAAAAATCTGTACGAGATGAAGAAATACGGATATCATTTTCGGATTCAGCGTACAGGAATTACCATAGAACATGTAAAATTTCAAGAGAATAAAACCATCGCAGGTCTGTGATACTTTTAGGTATCTGTTTAAGGTTAAGAAAGACTGAAATCTGCTAGATCTTGTTAGGGCAACCTTTCTAAGCCTCAAAACTACTACCTAACAAAAGTTAGCAGACTTCAAACTTTCTAAGCCTCAAAACTACTACCTAACACAAGTTAGCAGACTTCAGCCTTTCCAAATGGCCATCAAGCCGTATAGACGATGTATTTTGTCTTTGTTAATGCAAGCTTACATTTGTATCACTTAAACGAGAACCGACTGCTTGTAACTATAGGTAAGTTTAACATTATAAATAGGTTGACGATTTATCAAGTACAATATCCACTTTAATAAAATAAATCGTTACAGTTGAGACAGTATCAGATATATTTATATCTCACTGACACTTTTAAACTTCCATTAATATTATTTCATATTAATTCAGAAAAGCGTTGTTAATTTTATAAAATCAAAATTATTATTGATATCATTTGAATTCGCTGATTTTATACAATGATATCAGTGTTTTTGTAATTAACTGACAGTAAACGTTCATCAACGGTAAAGACAGAACCATCTCACGAAAACTTGTAAGGATGTATCAATAGATGACTAATTACTTTTGAGAAAAGATGAGATGAAAACTCACATTCGTGTCTTCCAAACAGCTGAAGACTTCTAGTTTGTCTAGCCTGATAGTTCCTTCAAAGGGCAAGAATCTCCTTCCTCGATTAATCTTCTGGTTGCTACAGACACGAACTTCCTTCTCGTTAACATGACTGTTTACAGATGAGATTAGTACCAAACTAAACTCGGCCGGAATCAAAACACACGTTTCCATAGCGACGATTTTCCTCAGAAAAGGATCCGTTTAAACAAAACACGAAGAGGTGAGGGTATTTTCGATCATAGAAACAAAACTTTTTATTGAGTGGACTGACCGCCACACCAACAAATAGCTACAATAAGTCTGTATAAAAGAGAAAAAACACTAGCACACGCTACTCCTGTCTTTTTTCATAGGATCTGTCAATATTTTACTGGTCACCTAAATAAGCAACAGGTGTGATTATCTGACCGGCAGATGGCGCGGATTTCCAAGTTAGGGAGAGTCTTCTCCAATCTTCCCAAGTAGGTGTGGCCGTGACCCTGTTCAAATCTACTGACAGTAGAAAGCAGAAAAACATCGAGAAAGCGTTTGGAGGGTTTAATGCTCTACTTTCGAAGCAGCTTTGACTAACTGGGATAGTTTTGATTGTCGCGGCTATCCTTCGGTCCGTTGCATTATCCTGTTACCTCGTACAACACGTTAGAACTGATAAAAAAACAAAAACAACATAAATTAACTTATTTTGCACGAGGTGTAAGTTTATAGAGTCATTCGATATTTTCTGGTACTGCGAGAAAAAAAGAGCAAGCGTCAAGGCGATTTTCACAGAGAGGAGTTAATAGTGCGTTTCTTGCCTATTTACTCTTTCTGAAAGTAGAAGTAAAACGACTTAATAAATACTTTTTGGGCACAAAATGCTGTTGTGTTCAACGCAACAGCGAAACAACTCTAGCAAATGCTCTTATTCGCAATGCTACTACAAAATAACTTTAGAAAATGCTGTTGCACACAACATAACGTTTTAACGCTTCTTATTTTTTCTTTTCTTCTTTGTATACAGTAAATAACAACTCACTAAGTTGAATAGAATAGGTTCAAATTTAACAAATAAATCATATTTTATGTTAGGCCTGTGAGATCACATTTTCCATGTCTTTAAAGATCCTGACTTTCATCATTCTATCGAAAGAAGATTTACAACTGACTTTCTTTCAGTACTCATAGCTAACATTTTAAACATCTCTTTTCAGAGAGAAAGGTATACTTGAAAAATACAAACCCTACATCTTGGAAGAAGGACGACCTCTACGGCGCTTTTAGAAGTAATCATTAGTGATCCTGGAGGAGGAGTTAAATAAAAGAGAAAATCATAAAATTCTCCAATAAAACACTAGTTAAACTTGTAGTAATATCCTGAAGTACGGAAACTGTCTGCTATATTATCCATTAAAACTCTTAGCTAAACGGGTAATATATAACTTGATACATGAAATTTGTTAACGATATTTTCCAATAAAACTGTAGCTAAACGGTTATTATGTCACATATTAAAACTATCTATGATATTTTCCAATCAAGTTTTAGCTGAATAGGAGGTAATATTTTTTTATATATAAAATCAGTCTAAGATATCCCACAGTAACACTATAAACTTATATGAAGTTTTTTTTTGTTTTTTTTGCAGTAGCAGTAAAGCAAAGATCTGGTTAAGTGTTACACGAATTGTGTTGTTTTAGCAGTATACTGCTGTCAAGTTCACTTGTATTTGACTATTAAGATAAATTATACAGACTTGCGATGGTTTT